CTGCAAGGGAATAGAAACTTCGGCTTGTCGGAAAGTATGTGACAGGTAGAAGGAAGAATTTCCGACCCCATAAAGTATTTATGTTCTTCATATAAAATGATAAAATGATAAAATGTTGCTATGCCCACTCTAACACCCACAAACTTCAAAAATCGTAAGAATAAACGGGAATATCTCGGAAACTATCAAAGAAAGCTTCGTACGCAGCGTTAGTTTGTAAAGCTGATGGGACACGCCCACTCTAACGCCCTCAGTTTTGATGAGGGTCTCTAGGTATTGACTATCGATTGACCCAAAAGAAGTTTTCCACGCCCAAGAAGAATAATAACAAAAAAAATGTATTTATGAATGTCTGTGTAAATAGTTGCAAGCCGAACTGAGTGGCAACGCGAAGCGGCTATCTTATTCTATTGAACAATTAATAATTTAAGCAATTTATCCCATTTTTCTCCCCCTCTATCTCTCTAATAAACTCAATACCAAGTTTAATTATCTTATTCCGATTATTCCGATTATTAACATATAAGCTTTAAATTGCTGAAAAACAATGGTACGGGCAGGAGGGGGACTTCTCGCTCCTTACATTTCCTTCCTAACTTTTATCAATTTTCAACAGAAAGGCTGAGTAACGGGTATCTGATAGTCAAGACACTCGACTATGTCGTTAAGGAGTGGCACCTGCTGAAAAAAACTTGAGTTGCCTCAGAATATCTAAAATCTGCATGCCAAATCTCACATATCTACCTTTTATAGTTTCAGAGATCTCAGCGTTCATATGGACGGACAGACAGACGGAAGTGGCTAGATCAATTTGGCTAGTGATCCTGATCAAGAATAAATATGTTTTATTGGGTCGCAAACGCTTCCTTTTGTCTGTTACTTCCCGACGAATCTAGTATACCCTTTTACTGTCTGATTGTCGTTTTCAGACTGTCGTTTCGTTGGGTCAATCTTCGTTCTGCGCTTTCTTAAGGAATTATTTCAAAGTCAAAGTCGCACCCTTTACCCGCTAGGCCGCGCTGAAGTTCGAACTTAAAAATGTAAGAACAAATCGTTCTAAAATTAAGAATTTCGTTCTAAAATTTAGACTGTTTTTTTCCCGCTTGTATGTAAAATTTGCTCAGCCGTAAGCAATGTTAAAATTTCACCAGTATATCGTCTATCATCGTATATCATCGCTGGTGGTAGTGCTCGCGCCCACATAGATAGAAACGATTTTATCTTGCCTGTGTTCGCGATAATGTTCGTCATAGATGGCATGCTTAAAGCAACAACCATTTTCGTTTTGCCAAAAGGCGACAAGTAAGAGGGCGAAAAGATAACAAAAGCTTTTCGAAAACTGAAACATGTAAAAAAGAAAACAACACCTGTATCTTGTTGCTGAACGATTGGTTTTATATTATAACTTTGATTTTTAAAGAGGATAAAAAAACAATTTTGAGCTTCTCCATTTTATACCCGTTACTCGAACGGTAAGAGAGTATACTAGGAACAGGAAGAAGGAAGCGTTTCCGACCACATAAGGTGTATACATTTTTGATTAGGCTCACCAGCCGAGTGGATCTTGCCATTTCCGTCAGTCTGTCCGTCCGTATGAACGCTGAGATCTAGAAAACTCTAAAAGTAAGAAAGATGTCCACCCGTCAGTATGAACGCTATGACTTCGGAAATTATAAAAGCTTCAATACTAAGATTAGGCATGCAGATTCTAGAGATTCCTGCGCGGCGCAAGTTGGTTTCGTCAATGTGCCATGCCCACTCTAACGACCACAAACCACCCAAAACAGTGGCTCCTACAGTTTCAATGCTAGAATACAAATTTCATTTAACTGAAATGTATTGTTCTCATCCTTACCTATCACTTTAACGCCTACAAAAGCCGAAAATTTATACTTGTACAGAAAGAGAATTGGGATTTCAGATTGCGCAGATTGCGTAGCTTTGTACAAAGCGCAAGTTCGTGACGCGAATAAGCCAAAAATTTGGCTTCCACAGTTTCCAAGCTAGAAAAAAATTTTAACTGATATGTATTTGTCTAACGATTGACTCAAAAAAAGTTTGCTAAGCTTGCTACACTAACGCCCACAAACGTCCATAACCCTTAAGTCTGTCTCCCGCCCATATAACCATATATTGAGATCACGGGTAGGTGGCGCATTAAATCTCGCCTTACTGCTTGTATATCTCCATCTCCGTTTGGTCCCTTTTGCCTAGTAACTGGTATTTGATAGTCGAGGCACTTGGCTATTGGGTTCATCCTTGTCTTTTATTAAAAAAATATCTTATACAAATTTTGTCTTATCAAATTAACGTTGCATTGTTTTGGGCATTCAAGACAAGCATGATATCATACTGATTTGAACCGGGCTGCACTTTTTATTGCTCAGTAGCTTTCAAAATGTAATTTTTAAGACAAAAAGTGTATAGATCAAATATGAGAAATCTCAAAATTCAAAAAGATATTGCGTAAGCCAATTTTGAGAAAAATAGACAAAAAGTTGTTTATAAAAAACTTTTCGCCATAACTTTAAATATATTGTATTTAAGGAATTTAGGCAAAGTCAGCGTGATCAGCGTACTAAATTACATTTTCAGCGACAGATGGCACGTATCTGTATCATAAGTTGTTTAGAAACTATAAGCCCTTAAAATCTATTTTTTTTTACATTTCCCGCTAAGCCATCGATTTTTTCCATAAGTCGTAGAACAAAAGTTTTCGATCTCGAGCTTCTTAATACAAACCCACAAACAAAACGACAAAATTTTTTATTTTGAAAAGTCCCAAATCTGGTTTTTGGAATAACTATGGAACGGAGCTTTGGATTTTAAAAAACGAGGTGTCATCGCCGCGTATTTTTAGTAAGAATTAAAATAATTTATAATGAGGCATAAATAAATGCCTGAGGCATTTATTCCCACCAGCTACAGATTTCTACATTTTTACTTTTACTCTTCTATGGTTTTTTTCTCCAAAAACAATTGCAAATTTTCAACTCGTGGTGAGCAATCTTGTTAATTTTTGCAATACCTTTCGATTGGTGAATAACTCGTTATGATCGGACCATTTCTGCAGATTTTTAATTTTGCGGCTATATATAGTAGTCGCCTTCGCACACTCTCGTGGTGCGAGTTCGCCACTATGTGGACTACCGTCCACAGTGATTTTTAAACCAATTAATTTTAACTTAATTCTTTGGAAAGTATTCTTATAATACTCATTTTATCGACACCAAATCGATACTCAACAGTGTTCAATTAATGGTATTTTTTTCTTTAGTGACATATATACATAAATTGAGTGGTTTTTGAATGAGATCATGGTTGGTTATATTTCTATCTATAACACTGGGAAGTTCTTAAGACTTGCAAATTTCGACATTTAAATAATTCATGTAACAATAGTTATACCCGTTACTCGTAGAGTAAAAGGTTATACTAGATTCGTCGAAAGTATGTAACAGGCAGAAGGAAGCGTTTCCCCCTTAAAGTATATATATTCTTGATCAGGATCACTAGCCGAGTCGATCTAGCCATGTCCGTCTGCCCGTCTGCCCGCCTGTCCGTCAGGCCGTCCTTCCGGATGAACGCTGAGATCTCGGAAACTATAAGAGCTAGGCTATTGATGTTCCTGTGCAGATTCCTGAGCTTCTTACGCAGCGCAAGTTTGTTTCAGGAGAGTGCCACGCCTACTCTAACGCCTACAAGCCACCCAAAACTGTGGCACCTATAGTTTTGATGCTAGAATAAAAATTTTAACTGAAATGTATTGTTCTCATCAATTCCTATCGATTGGCCCAAAAAAAGTTTGCCACGCCCACTTTAACGCCCACAAGCCTCCCAAAATTGTGGCTCCTCCAATTTTGATGCTCGAATAAAAATCCTAACTAAAATGTATTGGTCTCATCAATACCTATCGATTGACCCAAAAAAAGTTTGCCACGCCCACTTTAACGCCCACAAACCGCCCAAGCCTTCGACGCCCAGAATTTTCATGCTAGATGAAAAATTTTAACTGAAATGTATTGTTCTCGTCAATACCTATCGATTGACCCAAAAAAAAATTTCCACGCCCACTCTAACGCCCATAACGCTTAAATCTGTCTACCGCCGGTAGGTGGCGCATTTTAATGTCCTTTTGCTGCTTTCATATCTCCATTTCTATTTTGACCCTTTAGCTGAGTAACGGGTATCTGATAGTCGAGGTATTCGACTATAGCGTTCTTCCTTGTTTTTTTCTATGAATATTATATTTTTGGTGTTTTTAAAAGGTAGAAGGAAGAGTTTCCGACGAAATGCAAAGTATATATGTATTCTTGATCGAATCACTAGCCAAGTTGTTGCTGTTATCTCGGAAACTGTAAGAGCTAGCCACTCCTGCTCAGCGCATGTTAGTTTGTTCGATGTGCCAAGCCCACTCCAATGCCGACAATGCTACAAATCATCTGTCCAAAAGTCTAAATGAGATTTCGTTATGTTTATTAATTCTCTACAATAGTTCAAATTGGACTATTCCCAAAAAAGTGATGACCATTTCAAGTGCCATTTCGGTGCTCTGGCTCCGTAATTCTTAGCTGGTTGGTTCAGACTTGGCATTTATATTCCACTAGTGAAAACATTTTTTCAAATGTCAACTTTGTTTTATTTAATTTTTCAATATCTATATCTATCGAATATAACTTTTCAGATTTTATAGTTTCGGAGATACAGCTTTCATACGGACGATTTTTTGCGGTTGTGCTCGGTCTTTTTTCAGGTCAATTGAAATTTGTGTCAATTGAGTGAACGTACACTCGGATGGCAAACTAGAGCTGAATACAAAGCGACGGACAGACGGAAATGGATAGATCGACTCAAAATTTCTTTTGGTTCAATCTATTTCTAATCTAGTGTTTTTGAACTAGGTTACGGCTACTCATCTACAAGTATAACACTTTCAAGAATATTAGTAAATTCCCTAAATAGTGTGTGTTTAAAATGAAGTTTACAATTTTTCTTTACAGATATCAACGCTGATTATATCATACTTCCTACATAACGAATAAAAATGTGTGGTAAGTAAAAGTTTTATTCCTATTAACTCATTGATTTATAATACTTGTGGGTGGACGGGGTAAATCAGCTCACAAATTTAAACTATTCCTCATAGAGCTGCTTAATTTTCTGGCGAAGTTGAGCTCAATAAAGTAAAAAGGAAACTTACAATTTATTAGCACAGGACCAATTTATATCCGTTAGTTTTACGGTAAAATGGTAAGTTGCATTCGTTGAAACGTGTGTAACAGGTAGAAGCCCTGCAAGCATTTGCTATCGCGGAAGGCACTATTAAGTCACTTCTACAAGATGAAACCGATCGTCCGCGATATCGCATTCGAATCGCGGAAGTGAATCCCGTCTGGACGTGTCATCGAAGTCACTTCTGGAAGTGTCGCCGAAGTGACTCCGAGAAGTGCTGCCGAAGTGGCACATTTCTTCCCGAAGGGAGCCACTTCCGCGATCCGAATGCTAATCAGATACCTGAACTTCTTTGATGCATGAATCTTTCGTGAAGATTTGCCTTTGCATATGTGCACCACAACTAACTCAGTGTCGTTGACGAGCTTGTGTACTACGCCGCCCCTAAAAAAGTAGTCATTGTAGGAATCTTTTCCATCATCTTGATCATCTTGCTCCTGCGCTTTTTGTTTGCCCATTGAAATACTTTGGTCAACTATTGTCATGGTTAGGTAACGGCTGAGGGCGTCCACATGTTTCATACGAGTTCCGGATCGTTGCTCTACCTCATAATCGTACTCATATACAAATAGATTTTGTGAAGGCAGTCGGGTATAATTATACGTTAAAATGTGAGTGCTTCGATGACTCCAAGAATCTCAAGCTCGTAACTTGTGTACTTTCGTTGAGCGTCGCTTGTCTATTTAGTCACAAAAGTATACCGGATGCATTTGACCGTCGTCTAAGGACTTATGCAAAAAGATCGCACCAAATCCGTCAAAGGAAGCGTCTGTGTGCACTTCAGACTGATTGTAAATGCTTAGAAATGATTTGCCCATGAGAAATTTGGTGTTGTTCTTCGTCAAATCAGTGAAAGGCCTTGAAATAGTGGTATAATTCTGAATGAGCTTCTTGAAATATCCCGTTAAACTCAAAAAACTTTGCAGTTGCTTCAAAGTTTATGGTGAATTCAGTTTTGACACGGCATCAATCTTTTCAGGGGTTGGATAAATCTTCTGATTTTCTATGATATGGACAAGGAATTGTATACGGAGTAACATTTTTTAAGATTTATCTCGATACCATATTCTAAACGTGTTAATAACCTCCCTCAGGTTAGGCAATGCGTTTTCTTCATTTATAGGCGGTATGATAACGTCATCGATGTATGTCGGGGAGATCTCAGCGTTCATCCGGACGGACAGACAGACGGACAGACGGACATGGCTAGATCGATTCGGCTAGTGATCCTGATCAAGAATATATATATACTTTATGGGGTCGGAAACGCTTCCTTCTGTTTTTTACGTACTTTCCAACGAATCTAGTATACACTTTTACTCTACGAGTAACGGGTAGAACTATGCATATAGATGGTCATTGATAAAGTAAATTAAATACTATTCACACCTAACAAACAAATTGGCCATGAAGGATAGCAATCCGTATGTCAAATCTCAACTATCTAGCTCTTATAGCTTAAACAACTCAGAGTTCATAAGATGTACACTGAAAAACAAACTTCAAGCATTGGGGCGCCACAATTTTTGGGAACTTTTGACTTTAAAAATTGTGGGACTGTTTCCGATCTTGCAAGCTGGCTCCAAGATTGCTCAAATACATTTTATAAGATAATCATATATAACAATTTTTGGAAGAACATTGATAGTAAATATCGGAGGGATTCCCGGTACTCAGCTGCATAAACAAAAAAAAAAAATACACTGATCAAAATATAAAAACAATCATATATTACAACATACAATATACACTTTTATCACATAACAATATCAATTTTGCGTTCAGACAGACGACATCGTGCGATATACGATATACACTTTTACACATCAATATAATTTTTATACCCGTTACTCGTAGAGTAAAAGGGTATACTAGATTCGTCGGAAAGTATGTAACAGGCAGAAGGAAGCGTTTCCGACCCCACAAAGTATATATATTCTTGATCAGGATCACTAGCCGAGTCGATCTAGCCATGTCCGTCTGTCCGTCTGTCCGTCTGTCCGTCTGTCCGTCTGTCTGTCCGTCCGGATGAACGCTGAGATCTCGGAAACTATGGGAGCTAGGCTATTGAGATTTGGCGTGCAGATTCCTGAGCTTCTTACGCAGCGCAAGTTTGTTTCGGCACAGTGCCACGCCCACTCTAACGCCCACAAACCGCCCAAAACTGTGGCTCCTACAGTTTTGATGCTAGAATAAAAATTTTAACTGAAATGTATTGTTCTCATCAATACCTATCGATTGACCCAAAAAAAGTTTGCCACGCCCACTTTAACGCCCACAAACCGCGAAAACCTTAGACATGATCGTTTTTTTTTTTTTTTTTTTTTTTTTTTTTTTTTTTTTTTTTTTTTTTTTTTCAGACAGACTTTAGCGTTAGCGCATGAGTGCGGGCGTGGCACCCCGGGATAACCAATTTGCGCTGAACCAGAAGCTTAGTAATCTGCTCGTTTAGCCTCCAATAGTTTCTGACACTGAGATCACAGCATTCAGAGTGGGGTATACTGACAAACGATTCGTTTTTTGAATGTCACTTTGCCGAAAATCAATATTTTTTAAAAGCTCAAAATCGGAATGTAGCTGACATCTACTAATCATATTCGTGTAAAAGTTTAGTTCCTATAGTTTATTTTTCTCACTTATAGTTGAAGGGTGGGGTGACGAACTTATAAATACACACTAAAACTCTATGTAGATGTGAAAAGCCTTTTTTTTTCGTCACGAAAGGTTGTTCCCTTTAAAAAATGACTTCAGTTTTGGGTTTGAATTTAACAAATTAAGTAGTTACATTTATAAATAATAAAAATCAACACAAACTATTTTTTTTGTTATCAGCTGTAGAAAAAAGAAATAACGATACTATGTCTACAAATACCAAACAACAAGCTTCTGTTAGAAATATGAAAGTGCCAATTTTAAAAGACGCAGAAGAAACAAGGAAGAAAGCTATAGTCGAGTACCTCGACTGTCAGATACCCGTTACTCAGCTAATCGGACCAAAGGGAAATGGAGATATGCAAGCAGCAAAGCGAGATTGAAATGCGCCACCTAACCGTGTTTTCAATATATGGTTATGTGGGCGGTAGACAGATTTAAGCGTTATGCGTGTTAGAGTGGGGAGGAGTCTATTACATTTTAGTAAAATTTTTTTATCTAGTATGAAAATTGTGGGCGCCACAGATTTGGGCGGTTTGTTTTTTTTTTTTTTTTTTTTTTTTTTTTTTTTTTTTTTTTTTTTTTTTTTTTTTTTTTTTTTTTTTTTTTTTTTTTTTTTTTTTTTTTTTTTTTTTTTTTTGTGGGCGCCATCAGTATTGTGGGCGGTTTGGGGCGAGAGGTGGGCGGCATGGCTGATGTGATTTTGATCAAGAATATATATACTTTATGGGGTCGGTAACGCTTCCTTCTGCCTGTTACTTTCCGACGAATCTAGTATACCCTTTTACTCTACAAGTAACGGGTATAATTATCTCTCGAACAAATTACGTGAACTTTTAATAATATGGTTGTAAATACATTGCACATTAGGATGAAACGCTTTTTTTTTGCATAAACTCCAAAATTATTTTGTGAAGTTTTCAGCATTATTTTATAGTCCGTTAAAGAAATATTTAACTATCAAATCAAATAACCATCCCTGGCTCTTTGGCAACCTTCTAAAGTCAGCGTGCCAAAAGTTTAAATAATTATTGTTTTTTCTACTCCATTAAATTATGGCAAATCTTCGCTTTATTAAAATCGTACAGCTAAGCCCAAGCATATTGAATAGCAGCGTGCCGAATGTTAAAAATTTAAGAAATTGTATTTATCTAGTAAGTTGTATAATACATTTTCGTCACAAAAGTTGATATCAGAACTTTTGTTTCTGAAGGGTCGATCGTCAAGAGATTTTTACCGCTCTAAGAGTTGTTTTTTTTTTATATCAGAAGTTTTATTTTAACATCAGTCACATAATTCATCTTCATATAGCTTTGATTTTCTTAGTTTTTACTTTAACACTTTCACCGATCTTTTTACCAAACGAGTGACAATTGGTACAGTCCTTGTATGCAATCCTTTTACGTTTGTCCATTTTTCGGGTTGTTGGTATGATCACAGCAGTGATGCAGTGGGCTTCGTCACAAAGTGGACTGCCGTACAAAGTCATGTTAGTTTTCACATTAGTGTAGCTCAATACCATGATCAGAAGTCATGTTTAAATTAAAAATTAATACTACAGTTTTTTTTTTATTCCGCTGTAAAGGTTTGGACTTCGCATGCAATTATGTGAAGCGCACATTTAAAGATTTTTCGAATTTTTGAAAAGAGTGTCAACTTAGTTTTCGTCAGAAGTTTTTAACGCAGAGAAGGAATAAAAGTCGTTTCGAAAGGCGTACAAAGTATTTCGAAATTCCTTTTTACGACATATCGCACAAGCCTGCAGCTTTAGTAGTTCACAAGTTACGGGTGTAAAATTTTTAGCTATTTATAGCAGTTTTCTCGCCAAACTAGTTAGTTTTTTCAAAAGTGGTACAACTAATGTTTCTAATATTAAGCCGTTTAGTACCGTCTAGAATTTTCCGTACTCTAAAGTAACGTTTTGGGACAAACTGTCAAACAAAATAAAATTTGTATTTTGAGAAGTCTCACAATATCTTGTTATGCGTATGACTTTTGAACGGAGCACCCGATTTTGACAGTTGAGGTGTATTTTAAGTGAGAATATAAGTAGGTTAATAGCGGTGGGCACTCATCCCCACCCGCCCCAACAGATCAAATTTATAAATTTTCACGCTTACACTTTCACCGCTCTTTCTCCCAAACCAATTTATTTTTTTTAAGTCTTGGTATGCAATCCTCTTAGTTTTTGCAATACCTTTCGATTGATGTATCACTAGAAACAATCGGAAGATTACAGTAGATTTTTATTTCTTCATGTATATAAAGTAGTCGCCTTCGCATTACGTGCGCTTCGTCACTACGCGGACTGCTGTCCACAGTGATGATTACGATTAAAGCTTCTTATTCATTTAATAATTTTAATGAACGACAAGCTATTGACTTCAAACGCATGGCCAAAATATCATTTAGCAGGCCAAAAAATCCACGTATCCCTCTCTTTAAGACCCTACTTCAAACTGGATCCCCTATCCACATGAACACCGTTTATAACTGGTTTGGATTTTGTAAAGGCAGGCTGCCTTGCTATATGTAACATTCCGCGTCAAGCTTGACACAACATTTTGGCTCAAATGTGAAAAAAAAATCTAAATATTTTTTAGACAACAACCAACGTTTTAAGCCCCTTAAATAAATTATGGATTACGGGTTGTTGCGTTCTTTCGATTTTTTTTATTTCGAAGTTGTCTGAGATTTTACCCCGAATTCTGTGTCATTTATGACGTCGAATAGTCGAAGGCTATATTCTAAAATGTTTAAAATTTATGTCCAAATTATATTTAAACTTTTAAACTTAGACTCAATTCAAACATTTTGTTTTTGATAATCAGAGTATTCCCTAAACTGTTGAATTGCTGAATTGTTGAAAATTCAACAGAAAATTTCGGAAATTATTCCCTGTTGAATTTTTAATTTTAAGATGTCAGCTGTTTGTCAGATTGTTAAATTGCCAGGCCGTGTTTAGCAAAGATTGTGTTTTAAATTACGGAAAATGCCGAGATTAAGCCAAAAAACTAATCTATTAGAACTCCTAACAGGCAGCATCCTATCAGATGTCCTTTATTTGCATATTTTATACGGTTGCAATTCCTCCATGTTTACAAGTGATCAGAGTTACCCTCTTACTTTTAGTCGAGAACAGCGACAACTCTGATTTTTAGCAATTCAACAAAATTGCTGAAATTTCTGTAAGTTGACTTTGTATGGAACAACTGATTAACAGCTGACCAAAATTCAACAATTCAGCAATTCAACAGTTTAGGGAATAGCCAGAATATGTATTATAAGAAAATTTAATTTTAAATACGGATGCCGACAAAATATAAATATTGATCTCACCGCACTTTATACCAACAGGAATCTTTGCCTATCTGAATTACCTGACGCCCAAGTCACGCCAGGAGGTGCTTGATCTGCTGGTCACGGGCTTGAAGAGATTGGAGTACCGTGGCTACGACTCGACAGGAGTGGCAATCGACTCACCGGATAATAAAAACATCGTGATGGTCAAGCGAACGGGCAAGGTTAAAGTTCTTGAAGAGGCGATTCAGGAGCGTAAGTACTGACATAGACACAAAAGTAATTTAAAAAAAATAGTTCCTGAGTTATCACATTTTTTTTAAGACTCTAAATTTTGAGTTAATTTACTTAATAATTATATTCAACAACCGTGTTATATTATATATATAAATTAATATAACTTACGTTTTCGAATAAAAACACCTCTTAACGAGTAAGGGGTCTTGACGATCGCACCTTTAACTTAAAAAAGTTCTGATAAAGGAATTTGGGATGATAAATGACTAAATAAATACACTTTCTTAAATGTTTTCGTTCTGCCCGCTGCATAAAAATACTTAAGCTTCTTGCATAAAAAGGTATATTCTGTTGTAGCGTGCCGAATGAAAATATTTTAGAAAGAGTATTTATTTAAATGTTGTTTAGAAACTATAAGTCTTTTATATCTAGCCTTTTTTTTTTATTTTTCCGCCAAACTAGAACGTTTTTCCAAAAGTCGTTAAACAAAAGTTTTCTATCTCTAGCTTCTTTATGCACCCATAATGTCGTCAAGGCCCTAAAACCAAAAAGGGATTCTTACAAACCCACAAGCAAAGGGACAAAAATTTTCATTTTGTACGGGTCAACGGATTTTAACAAATGAGGTTTCATTCGACGAATATTCTCAGTAAGAATAAAACTAGGTTAATAGCTGTGGGCATTTGTCCCGACCGGCCCTCCTTGCGCTCTTCGTCACTACGTGGACTGCCGTCCACAGTGATATATACCATTATTGATTAGAGTGCCACGCCCACCCTCATTATAATAGGTTGGTATATATTCAAAAGCATGTAAGGTATTCCTTCTTGAGATCCTCTGGTCTCACGAATTTCTAAGTAGAAAGGAAGTCTTGTTGTGAAATAATTGTGTATTAGCCCAATCAGCCCAATTCATTGTCTGATACTTCGAGCCGGACTACTTCCGCATCTACAGACTGTATAAGTATATCTGCACACCATGGAGCAGTAGGAACTTAAACGCCTTACGCCTTACACGTGTTCGTCTAAAGGGACAGTGACGCGCTTGGTCACTTACATCGAGAATCCACCGCCACAGAGCACTTGCTCCGGAGTCGATGCCATGGTGGCACGGCTAAATCAAGGATTAAGGAGCCTTGAGGAGATCACTGACGAAATGCACTTGCATGAAAACGTTGAGGGCGAGGAGAAGTACCTGCACGCCCTCACCTTATTCGCGTCGTTAAAGAGCGACCTTCAGCTAAGCGCTATGACTCAAGCGGATCACAACATGGCTACACTGTTGCAACAGCAGAGTGAGTTCTTTCAGCGGATTTCTGAAAACGGAAAACCTTCCTTGGCCACGCCGCCGTCTGCTGCAGTCTCCTTAACGGAAAACTTGTTGCCGAAAATCCACATCCAACCCTTTGGTGGAGACTACAAGAAATATCCTGCCCTTAAGGACATTTACGAGAGAACCGTTCACAAGAAGACCTACCTAGGTCTAAAGGGACCTACAAAATTTGCCTTGTGCTATTGGATAGCGGCTCTGAGCTGTCCTGCGTTTCTGAATGTTGCGTCACCGCACTTGGGCTCGCACACTCAATCTTAAGAATACTAGTTTCCGGAATATCTTCCGTCACGGCCGAAACTAGTAGAGTATTGGCTACGCTGCACATTAATCAATGGTGTCAGTGCTTACAATTGTTGTCGCAGCCCATGTGCTGGGAAAAATCACTTTAACGGGACGACATTGACGAAAAAGCTTTAAGGATATACGACGGACTCCAATTAGCCGGCACTTCGTTTAACACATCTTCACCTGTGGACATTTTACTGGGAAACTAACAAATTTTGTCTGTTCTGTCAGGGGGGAAAAATTATGACACCAATGGAAATAATATTGCCATCAGCTCGATCCTTGGAAGAATATTCACTTTCATTGCAATGCCGCACCCATAAACCGCGAACACGCTCATGACTACTATTGACATAAACGCCTCTCTTCAACGCGTTTGGGAGATCGAGGATAAGACTGACCTTTATCGCCAACCGTACTTCGGAGATCCTGAATGTCATACTAGGCAGCAGCTGGCATCACGTTGGCTTAAAGGATAACCCCGCCATTTGTGCATCGAGAGCAATGTTAGCAGCCAATCTCATGAGCTTCGAGCTGTGGTGGAAAGGTCCACATTGGCTATATCGCACCGATCTGCTTGCTTCAAAGCTGCATAGTGGCAAAAATCTCAACACAATTTTGTGCACGCCCATACTGGATTGGCTGAAATCCTCCTCATTATCCAGCCGTATTGAATTTAGTTTCTACCTGGACCAAGCTAATTCGCTGCACTGCTTATGTTTTACGCTTTGTTCATCGAATCAGAATGCAGAAACGGGTTCCTTCAAGCCTCACACTCACGTTTGACGAAATCAGCGTGGCCAGCATTTGTTGTCTAAGGCAGGCTCAAGGAAGCTTCTGATCCGACCCACACATGTTGCAAAGAGGAAAAGCTGGGTCAAATTCTTCAACACTTCGAACACTCTCACCCATGCTTTGGGAGAACGGCCTGCTTCGTGTAGGTGGGCGCCTATCAAACTCGCTACTACCGAAACTATCATACCCGAAACATCATCACATTTCCCAGCTTATTTTGGAACACGGACACAGGATACATTTTCCAGGTGTGACAGCACTTACCGTCATCGTTCGCCAACAATATTGGATAGTTGGTGCACGCAACATGATTCACAAGCTTACACATGCTTGTCGCAAATTTTTTCGCCAGCTCTACAAAACAACTTATCAATACATGGCAGACTTGTCAGGTGTTCGGGTACGTTAAGCATACCCATTTGAAAATTGCCGGGCCACTTCTACTCAAAGTGCACAAGGGACGGAACCTCAAAAGGAAAGGGATACATCTGTCTATTCGTCTGCCTAGTGACCTCCGCAATTCACTTGGAGTTGGCTTTAGATCTCAGCACGGGGACATTTCTCGCTGCACTTCGCTGTTTTATCTCCCGTCGAGGCAAGTGTAACCACTTCATCAGCGACAACGGTCGCAAATTTGTGGAGCAAAGAAAGTGGTAGACGATATGTAAAATCCTGTCGCAGCAGCATAACACTCAAGTAACCTAAGCGTTGGCCAGCGAGGGTATCAAATGGAGTTTTATACCCCCACACGCACCCCACTGAGGCGGAAAATAGGAATCAGCTGTTCGCTCCGTAAAGCTACATCTGCGTCGTGTCATCGGGAATTCCATCCTCACAATTGAGCAAATGCACACACTTCTGGCTCAAGTTAAGTCCGTCGTCAGTTCACGCCCACTCCTCGCTACGTAAAGGTTTCCTACTAATTAGACGCCCTTAAACAGAGGGCGATTTTGCCATGTAGCAGTTAACCGACTGGATTACTGGCAAAATGTCCAGGCAACGTTACAAGGCTTTTAGAAGAGATGGCATCAGGAGTACCATACTACACTTTAACACAGCCCTAAGAACGTTGCTACTGGGCATATGGCGATCATTAAGGACTCAAACACACCGCCCGCCGCTTGGACCTTGGAGCGCATAATTGGCAAGGACGTTGAGGAATCTGATAACTCATTATAATAATTTGGTATATATAGCATGTAAGATATTCCTCCTTGAGATACTCTGGTCTCACGAATTTCTATCTCTCTCTCTCTACATGAATAAAAAGGAATTTTTATAGTGAAATAATTGTGTATTATTAACCAGCCCAATTCGAAAGTTTGTAAACCATTTAGCGTGATCTGTTATCATCACTAAGGACTGTGTGTATTTTGTTTTAATGTACATTGAGTTGGACTTTATTGTTCAACACTTTTCGACATGCCAATATTCATATCAATTTATTATTTTAAAAGTATGAATGGTAAGGTATAAGTTAAAGGCCCTTTGCATGTACCCCTGCCAGCGGCTACATGGCCCCGCAAAGGAAATGGCCTTAAATTTTAATTGGTCTACATGTTACGCTCTGATTTGTATACCCTTGCAGAAGGTATTATGATTTCAGTCAGAAGTTTCCAACGCAGTAAAGGGGACGTTTCCGACCCCGTAAAGTATATGTATTCTTGATCAGCATCACAAGACGAATCTGTCTGTCCTTCTGTCCGTCCGTTTCTACGCAAACTAGTCTTTCAGTTTTAAAGCTATTGGGCTGAAACTTTCCCAAAAGTCTTCTTTCTTTTGCAGGTTGTATATAGGTTGGATCCAGCCGGATCGGACAACTATATCTTAAAGCTCCCATAGGAATAAATTAAAAAATAATTATAAAAATGATATCTTTGGTGTTTTTTAACATATACCCTCCTACGCTTGGAAATAACATTTTTTAATTAGTTCTGAACTTCGAATTTAATTTTATTAAAATCGCACGACTATATCATATAGCTGCCATAGGAATGATAGGATAGAAACGAACAGACGGACGGACGCACATGGCTCTTTTGACCAATCACCTGCGTTGCAAAAGTTCTGACAGAAATCATTTTACCCTCTGCAAAGGTATAAAAAGAACAAGGAGGAACGCTATAGACGAGTTCCTCGACTATCAGATACCCGTTACTCAGCTAAAGGGTCCAAATGGAAATGGAGATACGCAAGCAGCAAAACGAGATTAAAATGAGCCACCTACCGGCGGTAGTCAGATTTAAGCATTTCAGTTAAAATTCTTATTCTAGCATCAAAACTATAGGAGCCACAGTTTTGGGCGGTTTGTGGGCGTTAGAGTGGGCGTGGCACTCTGCTGAAAAAACTTGCGCTGCGTAAGAAGCTCAGGAATCTGCACGCCAAATCCCAATAGCCTAGCTCTTATTGTTTCCGAGATCTCAGCGTTCATCCGGACGGACGGACAGACGGACATGGCTAGATCGACTCGGCTAGTGATCCTTATCAAGAATGTATATACTTTATGGGGTCGGAAACGCTTCCTTCTGCCTGTTACATACTTTCCGATGAATCTAGTATACCCTTTTACTCTACGAGTAACGGGTATTACAAGAGGGTAATTTGAATTCAATAGTTAAAAAAAAATTATTTCCAACCGAGAAAGACACTCGAATTGGCTAAACCAAAACAGAATCTTAGATGCAATACAATAAATCGATCGAAACTGGAAACCCAAATATGCCTTCTTTTTAATTTTTATTTCTTTAAAAAATATTTTAAGAAAGAATGGCTTACGAGGAAATACTAGATACATATACTCGAAGATCTGGATTTACCACTAATATTAATTTTATAATCGTTTATTCAAAACTTTCTACCCTTTGCAAATAAAAACGTGACGTAATAAAAAGATTCGGTGTGCAATAGAATGAACCATATTATAAAAAAACCTTTTTTTTTTTTTGTTTTTGGCATAGATTTCAGCGGAGGCGACTACAGCGAACCCGTTTTGACCCATATTGGCATCGCGCACACTCGATGGGCCACCCATGGAGTTCCATGCGAAAGGAACTCCCACCCACATCGTTCGGACGAGGAAAACGGATTCGTCGTGGTACACAACGGCATTATTACTAACTACAACGATGTGAAGACCTTTCTGGCGAAGCGTGGTTATGAGTTCGAGTCGGACACGGACACAGAGGTATTCGCCAAGCTGGTACACCACCTTTGGAAAACCCATCCCACCTACTCGTTTCGCGAGCTGGTCGAGCAGGCCATCCTTCAAGTGGAAGGCGCCTTTGCCATTGCCGTGAAGTCCAAGCATTTTCCCGGAGAGTGTGTGGCCTCGCGGCGTAGTTCACCCCTTCTGGTAGGAATCAAGACAAAGACACGCCTTGCCACGGATCACATTCCCATTCTTTACGGAAAAGGTATGTTGACCAGTGAGTCGTCAGCTATCTCTGCACTCGCAAACGCTGTTTCTTCACCAGCCATATCCTTTGTCTTCTATCTATATGTAAATAACTGTCCGTGTGTCGGTTTGTTCCATATGGCAACCACCACATTGAACTCTCTTCCCATCCTGCCTGCTGCTACTGTGCCGCTTCTGGCGTCGATGTCGAACTGCAGATGACAAGAAGCTAAATCCCGATCAAGGTAGTCACCTGACTAACCCGTACGCTTTTCCAATCTATAATATGGTGCTGTGGGACTTTCTAAGCACTAACACAAACTTGCTAAGGATTTTTCCACTACTGTCTTTTTAACATATTCTTCGCTTATATTGGTTCCACAAATTATTAACTTAATATATTTTGTTTTATACTCTTTCATTTGTTTAGATGCCGACTCTGGAAAACAGCAAGGTAACTACAGCATAATGTTTTTTTAAGCTAGTTAATGTAGCTCTTTCATGCTTGGTTTTGGTCGGCTTGTTGTGCTGGGAATCCTTTTTAAACTCTGGTTGTAATCACATGTACAATTCAAATAGAGGGGAAAGGAATAAAACTTCTCACCATTTAAGCTGTTAGTATTTTCTGCTTTTAGTATATGTATTTAGGGAGTTTTCGCAAAAATTTTAAATTAAAAGTACACAACTAAATTCTTGGTCAAATTTTGAAAATTTTTTAAGCTTGTTTATTTTGTTTTGAACTAATAAGAAATTATAAATAAGTATAAGCACACTGTGTTGTGCAATAGGGCTACAGGGTAATGTTTCGCCCAGCCGAGGAACATTGCGGATTCAGTCCTCGCCTCTCTTTCTTCGCTTTGTTGACCGCTTCGTATATGGCGGGCACCAAGGTGCCCGAGCATCTGCCCATCCTCTGCTGAGAGCCAATTTCAAAGCTAACTCCGATTTTTCAACACACCCATTATGTGTGAAGCAACAGCAATAGTGGTGAGGTTCGAAATTTTTTTCAAAGAGATACTTTCCGATAAATTCCGATAGTTGAAAAACAACAGGAGCAAAAGATTCTTTAGGTATGAGCACTGGAGCTTGCACAAATTACAGTATTTTTTTAGACACAGTTTACTGATATGGTCCTTTTTTTATTGTAATAATAAAATATTACACAAAGCACTAATTTAAAGACTGACACATTAGCTTTAAGTATTTCGTAACGTACTGATATAACCCACTTGTTTTTAAAAATAAATATGATAGTAAAATTAATTACATGAAATTTATATTTATTTCACTGAATTTATTTTTTTCATTACACTTCTCGCCGAAATTTTTACTTTGATGCTGGAAATAACTCAATATACATTAACCACACTCACAAACACGCTCCTGCGCTTGCTCACAACGGGTGGCATTGCAATGCGCTTTTCGGGTTCCATTGCCTTGGTGGAAACATCGGCACGGCATTAATGCCACTGCTAAAATTGACCTTGTGTATGCAACTGTACATCAAATGCAACGAAACATCATACCACCCAATTATAATGCAAAATTAACTAGAAATTCGTCCGCATGGACAATCCCGCGAACTGCCAGTGCTCCCGCGATCGGAAAGCACTTCGGAATTTATGCCTTTGGAAGAGAAGGAAGTTGAATACTTCTTCGCGTCGGACGCCTCAGCCGTTATCGAACACACTAACCGGGTGATCTATTTGGAGGTAAGATTCAAGATTATTTCCCATACGCATAGACATATTCGGACCAATTAATTTAATTTGAGTTGCCTTTTACAAATATGTAATTTTTTTAATCCCAAACAATAATATTTTAAGCAGAAAAATATAATCAATAAATAAAAAAAAACATATTTTACTGTAAAATCGGCCGAAACCAGAATGTGTAGAGACATAATTGGCTCTGTCGCTCTCTTGGCAAATGGTGTCTCCATATACATAGATTGAACGCTATAGTCGAGTGACTAGCCGTCTGATATCCGATACTCAGCTAAAGAAAGTGCGAGAAAAATGGACTGCTATCTGATTTCACACGAGCTCCAAAATCAAAACTTTTTAATCATTCGTCCGATTTTTATACTCGTTACTCGTAGAGTAAAAGGTTATACTAGATTCCCTATAAAATATATTTTAAACAGAATCACCAGAAGAGTCGATATAGCCATGTCCGTCTATCCGCCTGTTTGTCTGTCCGTATGGAGGTCGAAATCGGAAACTAGAAAACCTAGAAAGTTGGGATTTGGCATGTTGATTTTTAAGCTTCTTGTGCAGCAAGCAGGTTTCTACGCCCACTCTTACGCCCACAAACGCGAATAAACTTGTCTACCACCCACATTTTTAAATATTTTAAAAAAATTTAGGGATTTTGTTTGGATTATCAATGTCCAAAAATACGTCATAAATTGTTCAATTCGGGCCATACATTAAACAGTTATAGGCAAATAAAGCTTGCAATCTCTTGGCTGTGTTACTTGTATATCTCCCTTGCACACCCCGAGTGCTCCCATTACACTTATCTTAACGGGTCTCTGAAAGTCGTCGGCATCGACTACAGCGTTCTCTATTGTTATACCCGTTACTCGTAGAGTAAAAGGGTATACTAGATTCGTCGGAAAGTAACGCCCACAAACCGCCCAAAACTGTGTCTCCTACAGTTTTTATGCTAGAATACAAATTTCAACTGATATGTATGGTTCTCATCAATACCTATCGATTGCTATTGATTGCTATCGATGGATCGATTGCCACGCCCTCTCTAACGGCCACAAACCGCCCACAAACTTCAAAAAATCCTAAATATGAATGCGGATATCTAAATAACTATCAAAGATGGAGGTATAGGATCTCAGATTTAGACTCCGTAGCCTTGTACGCAGCGCAAGTTTTTTACGCGAATATGCCACGCCCACTCTAACGCCCACAAACCGCCCAAACCTGTGGCGCCCACAATTTTATTGCTAAATACAAAATTTTTAATTAAATGTATTTGTCTCGGGAATACCTATCGGATAATTAAAAAAAAAGATTGCCACGCCCACTCTAACGCGCATAACGCTTAAATCTGTCTACCGCCCACATAACCATATATTGAGATCACGGGTAGGTGGAGCATTTCAATCTCGCTTTGCTGCTTGCATATCTCCATTTCCCTTGGTCCCATTAGCTGAGTAACGGGTATCTCATAGTCGAGATACTCGACTTTAGCGTTCTTCCTTGTTTTTTTAATCATTTTGATGTTTATTGAACATTATTATACAAAATAAAAAACCATTAACGCTTTTACAAAAGGCTTTGTGATAAAGATGTCCGGTCTACACAATTTCGACTTATTAATACCGGCAATACAAAGAAGACTTTTTGACAAGATTCATACAGTTGGCCTTAAGACTTAGAGACGAATTGGTGAAAAAACCGACAGAAGCCCATCTACTACGATGATATTAATATATATATTCTTAATAGTCCCTGCTTTGCGAACGTATTACTGAAAATAAAATACTGTCTGGAATGATATTAAAATTTTATATTCTTGGCATGCGCTTTGTGTCTTTTGCCAACCATATATGTAAGATTTAAGCTAGCTGTTTTTACTGTTTGCATAAATACATTTTTTTTAGGACGACGATGTTGCCGCTGTTCGTGATGGTACTCTAAGCATCCATCGCCTAAAGAAGAGCCTGGATGACCCACACGCTCGAGAAATCACTACCTTAAAGATGGAAATCCAACAAATTATGAAGGGAAATTATGACTACTTCATGCAGAAGGAGATTTTTGAGCAGCCCGACTCCGTGGTCAACACTATGCGCGGACGAGTCCGCTTCGACGGAAACGCGATTGTACTCGGTGGTATCAAGGACTATATTCCAGAGATCAAACGCTGTCGCCGCCTGATGTTGATCGGGTGTGGAACCTCTTACCACAGTGCGGTAGCCACTAGGCAACTGCTTGAGGAGCTTACTGAGCTGCCCGTTATGGTCGAGCTGGCTTCCGACTTCCTGGATCGCAACACACCTATCTTCCGCGATGACGTCTGCTTCTTTATATCGCAGTCCGGAGAGACTGCAGACACCTTGATGGCCTTGCGTTACTGTAAGCAGCGAGGAGCCCTGATTGTGGGCATTACGAACACCGTAGGCAGCAGCATCTGCCGCGAGTCGCACTGTGGAGTGCATATTAACGCCGGACCGGAGATTGGAGTAGCATCTACTAAGGCCTACACCTCGCAGTTCATTTCCCTGGTGATGTTTGCGTTGGTTATGTCCGAGGATCGTCTTTCCCTGCAGCAGCGACGGCTGGAGATTTTACAGGCGCTGTCCAAGCTTGCGGACCAGATCCGAGCCGTTCTCAAGCTGGACTCAAAAGTTCAAGAGCTGGCCCAGGATCTTTACCAACACAAGTCGCTCCTGATAATGGGTCGTGGGTATAATTTCGCCACCTGCTTAGAAGGCGCCTTGGTAAGAAACCACCTTAGTCTTCTAAAACTGCTTTTAACTCAATCAAAACGTTTTTCAGAAAGTCAAGGAGCTTACCTATATGCACAGTGAGGGCATCATGGCTGGTGAACTAAAGCACGGCCCATTGGCCCTTGTAGACGACTCCATGCCAGTCCTAATGATAGTCCTTCGCGACCCTGTCTATGTCAAGTGCATGAACGCCTTGCAGCAGGTCACATCTCGCAAGGGCTGTCCGATTATTATCTGCGAGGAAGGAGACGAGGAGACGCAGGCTTTTTCCTCCCGCCACCTAGAGATTCCACGCACCGTTGACTGTCTGCAGGGAATTCTCACCGTAATTCCAATGCAACTTCTGTCCTATCATATTGCAGTGTTGCGCGGATGCGACGTTGACTGCCCCAGAAACCTAGCCAAGTCCGTTACAGTTGAATAGAGCAACTGAAATTTCGGAACCTTAAGTAGTTGAGTACTACTTTGAATTTTCGTTTGATAATCTCCGCGTGTCCTCGGTGAACACATTTTATACATATTCAAGCAGTTACATGATCACATTACCATCATTATGAAACATTCCCAAGGAACACAATATTAATTAAAAATGTATTAACTAAATTGATAATAATTTGATTTGATTATATATATGGCATTTACATGGATTTGTTTGGATATGGTGACATGGTTATTTTAGAAGTCAAACCTTTAATTTAACCATTATAAGCCAAAAAACATTACAAAGCTGATTTATATGTTTAAAGCTTTTAAAAATAACTGGTAAATAGGTAAAAGACTGTCGGAAATTAAAAGTGTGTTCTTCCGTACCAAGTCGTTGATCTCAACTTCAAGAATGAATAACCCCAGTTTTGTGGGACTTTACACCTTTATGATACAGGTAAAGGGAAGTGTTTTCGATAAGGATCAGAATCACTAGCCGAGTCGATCTAGCTATGCTCGTCTGTCTGTCTATCAAAACAGAGATCTCGGAAGCAATAAAAGCTAGCAAGTTGGAATTAATCATACAGACTTAAAAGATTCTTGCGCAGCGCGATTTTATTTCAGCATGGTGCCACGCCCACTATAACGCCCACAAGCTGCGCAAAACTGTGGCGCCCAAAAGGATTAAAGTTTAAAAAAGTTGTTTTATTCCGCTTGCCAATACTTACCGTCACGCCGAAAAAGGTTAAAATGGAACCATTAGTTAATAAATTATGACCAAACACCCGTATCTATCTAGAACATCATTAATGACATCACAGCCATTAGAAAAAATTGAAAAGTAAGTAATGTAGATAAAAACAAGGAAGAACGCTATAGTCGAGTACCTCGACTATCAGATAATGTTGCAGACTAACAATTAAAGAAACATAATCCTGAACTATCGATGAACATATAATTTGTAGATCCTTAAGAAAACTTGTACAACTTTCTGGTGTCCGTATACACTAATGAATAAGACTCAAATGAATATAATTGAGTCGTAGCTCATTGGAAAAAATGTTAAGTCAAAAAAAGCCCCTTTGTTAATAAATATGGATAATACTTAAAAGAAAATCATGAACGGCTAAAGGTGTGTTGTTTCATGAATTGACATGGCAACTTAAATTACGATTCGGAAGTATCTCTTGGGTATCTTCGTCAAATAGCCGAAAAGATTATGGTTGGGTTGGGTAGAGAAAGCTCAGACCTTGTGAAACGTTAGGCTACAAACTACTTATAGTTCGGCTGCTTGGTCAAATTCTAACTACCCTAAATATTATTTTTACCCCTGTAATTTTCGAAATTCTCACTTAAGAGATTTAGCAACAACAACGCCAACTTATTTTCCCGGTCCAGATGGACTCCCTGGGTGTGTGCTTACGTTTTAAGCGTCAGTTTTTCAAATCATGCAAATCATGGGCTTCCGTGTAATCTATTAACTTGGATTTCAAGTAATTTGAATGGCTTATATTCAAGAACGCTGCTTGATCTACGTGACATCTGGAGTGCCTCAGGGTAGTCATTTGGGTCTTTTACTGTTTTTTTTGCTTTTTAACGATCTTCCCTCTATCATAACACATTTTCGTGTACTGCTGATGATGTTAAGCTTTGTTTATCATACAATGATAAATATATTAACTTTTATTTAAACTTAAAATATAATCTTTTATTTAAACTTTAGTTTTACAATTATTTTCGACCGTGATATCTTAGGATAATTTTCCGTCTGCCCAAGCTTGAGTTGGTTCTCTTCCCTTGTTGCCTCGGGATCAAAGCTTTTGAAAGCTTGTCCTCGTCATTTCCCGAAGTCAGATTCTTTCATTGAGATTTGATGTATGTAATTGAATTTTTTGATTATTGAGTACTGTAGATAGTTCTATCCCATTTTGTAAATACCTTTTTTTATATAGCAGGCTGTAGCGGTGTCTATTAAAATCTATAATTATTATCTATAAATCTATAATACATTAAAATAATAAAAATACATATTTTATTCATTTTCTTGTCCTGCCGAAAAATGTGCGGCATGCCTACTGTTTTCCTAAAAATTGGTCTTCTTGGATATTATTTAAACGCATCTGTTTGTTTTTGGGCTGAGCCGATGACTCAACTTGCGTGCGTTGAGCTGACTGTTCTGGTTGTTTATACGGTTTTTCTTTTTTATAGGTGTTGGAGTACGTACCTCTGGGAAATGTTTTGTTAACAGTATGTGAGGAGTTGAATAACTCCCCACAAATAGAAGCAGCAGCAGATGGCCGGCCGCTTACCAGATACGCGGCGAATTCGCGTAGTAACGGCGCGGCGAGGAGAGCGAGAGAGTTTGGAGACCAATGAAGGAGATCGAGAGAGTTTGGAGACCAACAAAGGAGAGCGAGAGAGTTTGGAGACCAATGAAGGAGAGCGAGAGAGATTGGAGACCAAGGATGGAGATCGAGAGAGAATGGAGACTTCGCGGGCAGAGCAAGAGTGCCGTGTGCAAAAGGGGATAACGGAACTCCACCGGACTTTGGACTCTCCCGTGAACTTTGGACCGGGAGAGGAAGTGCCACATCTCGGCAGTGGAGCGGCACACAGGCGTGCCACAAGCGGCCCGGGAATCAGCGGGACGGCAGCAGTGGGCGGAGCATCGATTGAAAGCGGTACGTGAAGGAGAAGTGGGTCATCCAGGAGGCACGGACTTTGGACCCAGAGTGGAGAGATCCAGCGGGCCGTGCGCAAAAGGGAAATAACGGTGCTTGGAGGCCCTATATAAGGCCGCAGAGCGCTGGCAGCTGGATCAGTCGATCAAGAGGAGTCAAACCGTCACGATCAATTGAAGTACCAAATAAACTGTCAGTCAAGCAAATAATCTACGAGGGAGCTACAACCAAGCGAGTCGTCGGAAGCAGCGCCATGGGAGCAAAATCGCCACGTCGAGACGTTCGGGATTAGGACATCAGGAATCTCCGAATTGAGACACAGGTGGCTGAGTTCTGAAAGGCATCACGCGGCTAAGTCAAGGCGTTTGTTTTCTAACTTTGTCACGACCACACCCTGGCGAGTCGCCCGGCGGGTCTGTCAGAGATAAGCAAAAGAGTCCTACGACGAAGAGCCGTCAGCTTGGGGAGGAAAGTTGTCTGCGACCCAGCGTACCTTGCCCGACCAAGCAGGACCTGGCGTGACGGACGAGCGGTAGATCGATTTGCGCTTTCAAGAGGCGGCAGCCTGGAGAGCCCTGCGATTACCGGCGAAGTTCCCGAGCAGCGACCGCCCAGCTCCCCGAGCGCCAGAACAACGAGATACTGGTCAGAAGACAGCGCAGAGGACATCGACAGCGACGCCAGCAGACATTTCCGGCAGCCACGTTACCATCGCCGCGCGGAGCTCATTGGGGAGCGCAGGAGCGTCGCGGACGTCACGCATTAGGGTGAAGCCGGGTGGAACGTTCGTCTGCGCTAGGCGTAAAGCGAAGTGAACCGCTAGACAGCCTCCGGGCGGCAGCCCTGACTGTCAGCGCGAACTGAGCAAGAACCTAGCGGGACCGTCCGGGACAGAGCAAGGGACAGGTATTGTCTCGAAAGGCGTCAGCCTGGAGAGCAAGGCTTGTTCACCCTAGTCTGAGAACGGTGACGCTTCCCTAAGCCCACAAGGCCGAACTCTCTGCGGGTCTAAGGCGCTACAAGCGACCCCGAGGCAACGCGTCGGCAAGCAAGCAGAGGCGGCCACTACGAGCGTCCCGAGACCCAGGATCCAGAGGAGGACGAGTCAACGCGTCGAGGAGCCAGAAGGAGGAGCGCCAGCAGCCGGCGGAACCAGAGCCAAGAGATACCGAAGCCAGCCCAGCCACACACCCGCTGTACTAATACCACGAGAATAAATCCCACTGATACCATTTGAACTCTTTGTTTTCTCACTGATCTACGGGCAATCACGTCATATAAATTTGGTGGGACGAACGCACAATCTTCTGAGCTAGCCGCACGAATCTCGTAGCGAGCAGACACACAAAATCAGTTCGTTACATCTGGCGCCCAACGTGATTGTCCCAACAGTGAGAACAGCACAGTAAAAATGGGAAAGAAGTGGATTTACCGCCTTAAGAAGGAAGACTTCGCCCATGTCGCACAGAGGCTCAACGTCGCCCTGGAGGGCAGGCTAGACGACATGAGGAAGGCACTATCGGAATACTACTCCGAAACAGAGAACGATCCACAACTCGTCGACATCTGGGCCGAGCTAGAGGCGACATACTACGACAGAGCCGGCTCAAGCATTACGTTAACGAACGCTGAAGGGGACAACCTGGTGGCAAGCCTGAGCGTTGACAACATACAGAAAGAGGCCCACAGGAGAGAATCAAGCCAAGAAAAGAAAGCAGCAGCGCTGATCCCGAGACCAAGCCAGTCGGACTATGCAAAGGTCGCTAAGCAGGTCCGCGAATGGTCGTTCAGGTTCGACGGGGCGGAAAAACCATTCGAGTTCCTGGAACAGGTAGAATGGTCCGCCAACACGTACGGTTTGGAGCTTGATATGATCCCTCGAGCGATGCCGGAGTTGCTAAAAGGAAGGGCCTTGAAATGGTTCATCGCCAACAATAAGCAATGGAGAACATGGGCAAAATTCATTGAAAGCTTCCACACATATTTCCTGCCAAGAGACTTCTTCACCAGGCTGGCGGACCAGGTCCGGCAAAGGAAGCAAGGCTTCAGCGAGTCGTTCAAGGACTACATGATCGACATGCAGACGATGGTGAGGCCACTTAACTATTCTACGAAAGAGACGTTAAGGGTCATTAAAGAGAACTGCACCCCAAGCCTACGAATGTTCTTAAGAGCATACAAAGTGTCGGACCTGGACACGCTAATGATCCTAGCCGATGAGTACGAAGAACTTGAAAAGGAACGGGAAGTCTTCGCACAGGAGAACAAGTTCTCAAAGACAAAGTCGGCGACACCAACACAGGTGACATGCAGGAGATGTGAGGAGGAAGATAACCAGGACACACGAGGAAACGACCAATGGTCACCACCACACCAAGCCAGACGACAGCAGGCAACAGACGCACCACGCGGAGGCCATTGGGCACCACCCCCACAGCAACAGAGACAGCCAAACAATACCTTGTGGAGGCCGCCAAGCAACACACAGAGGCCACAAGA